TGACCCGGTCGAGCTCAGTGACGTGTTGCTCCCGAATTGGTCCTGCAACGAGGATTGCACCGACAGACTACGGTCCTGGTGCTTCACTTTGTGGGGGGAGAGCTTTCCGGGGTCGACACTGGTCGGGTCTGCCTGCAACAAACTCTCTGGTTAAGAGGCTTTCGGGATGGGGCGAAGAAAGGGTGGATGAAAGGGTGGAGGGATCGTGTCTACGATAGTTGTTCTTGTGGTTGTGATTCGGGGGGTGTTTCGAGGTGTGAGTTGCGACCCTTTCGTTATGGGAACGCGTGTCGCAGCGCCATCTCGCGGCCGAGACTTGAAGCTGTATCTTCGTCCAATGTAAACCAATGTAATTTGGTTAAACAAGCTTAAACTCTTTTGATTTTTAGAAGATGGATAGATTCGAAGATAGAAGAATATAATTTTAAGTGTATTTTTCTTAATTATGGATAATATATGACGTTCTCCGTATCGAAAGGGTGGTATAAGTTTTGTGAAGTTTTTTATATTGATATATTAAATTGTGATGGAAAGTATATTGTGGTTATTTATCTGTATCGTAAATTTAATAGGAAAGAAGGTGTTCATTTTTCAAAGAATGAATTCAGGAAACATTTATTTATTTAAAAGGAGCTAACAAGAGCTAATCGAAATATATACTACATGTGCAATAAGGGGAAAAGTTTTCCTTTCAACATATGTGTATAAAGTATAAAATATAAAATGATATATATAATTAATAATATATTAGAGATGTGAGTATGCCAAGGTTTAAAAACAAAGAGTGATACACTCTTACACTGTCCACAATGTGTCAATATATTCAAGATTATTAGATTTATAAGGAATACGTCAAGTGAATAATATTCTAATTATTTCACAATATTATTCTGAACAATGTAAATAGTACATCAATGTGATATATCGTTAAACATAAAAAATATATATATATATATATTAATGATTAATATTAAATGTTAAATAAAATAATAATAAAATATTAATTATTAATAAACGATAAAAATAAAATAAAATATTTTTATACAAGGATAAAAAGAATTTCTAAATAAGAAGTATACATTTAATTTTTTAGATAAATTAATAAAAAATTTCGAAACATTCAAAAAAAAAGTTCTCAATTATTACACACTATATCGCATATATATACATAATGAATTTTTCAATCAAATTTTTAAACAATTTGCACTCTCTTCCGCATGCTTCGACAAGAGACACAAACAAGTACATGTGTGTATTATATATACATATCAAAGGGGACAAGAAGAATCATAAATGCATATTCATACTTGAATTATTCCCGACCATAATTTCTCGTCGTTCTTGGGTTAGCTTTCTAGGGATATATAACGAAACGTTATATATCGAACGAAATAACTTTGAACTGAGAGCATACTACCTTCGTGGAGAATGTACATTTTTTTATCTCATTTCGCTAGAAATTCGCAAACTACGATCCTCTGCACTAAAAGTGCTGCTTGTAACAGTGTCAATCTCGTCAAATATCAGACTAATAATGATATTATATGTATATTTTTTCAAATGTAATAATAATAATTTTGCAACTAATTCTGTCTGCGACATTCCTAATGAAAGGCACAAATGACTTCGTATTAGGTAAAAATTATAGAATATATCTAGGCTTCTACTCTGAATACTTGGAATTTTGATTAGTAGAAATAGAGAGAAAAAGAGAACGAGAAGTGAGAATGTGTTAGCATTTAATTCCATTGTTATTTCTGAAACAACACGCACCTGATAGGCCAACGCGTTCACTATGATCCCCGAAGGTACCAGGCCCAGAGGGTGAACCTCCCTCATAAGCACGTTTGCAGGAATCTTGTGAAATTGAATGTACTCCAGAAAGTTGCCTATCACGTCCTTCAGATCTTGATTCTGGTTGCTGTCGCAGTATTTCTTGCTCCACATCAAGGCCGCCTATGAGTATATTTTGACGAACTCTTAATAACAATCCAATCTTTCAGAACAGAAACTATGATTTTAATAATATCGAATGTAATATTTACTTGAAATTTGGTAAATTCATCGGCACGTAACTCTTCCCTAGCGAGGATTAAACGGACTACATGCTGAGGAAGAAGGGTGAACGAGCCTAGATTCAACACTTCATTGCCATGTTCGTCGACGAATTCAAATACCTGTAAATAAAATATATTTGTAATATTTTTAAGAATATTCCTTAAATTAACCTATTATTTTCTTTTAGGGTCTTGTTGAACGAAGAAGAAGAGAAAAGTTTCAAAAAATTTTATACATTTTTGCGATCTCACCTTATGAACCAAGGATTTTGTACATTTGTACTGAATGTATCGTTCAGCTGACGCCAATAAAGCGCACACCGTGTCCACTGTTATACAACATTGCACAAATCCTGTGCAAGCTTTCCTCAGTTGTTCTAATCCGTAATAATCAGCTGCGTTCATCAATCCTTTAAAATGAAATTGTTGATACGTCAAGGCAATATTTATTAATAATTGAATTATAGTCGTCAAAGAAAAGAGGTCGAAACTTTTTTTTCAATATTATTTTAATTAACAATATTTGTAAAGCACGTACCCAATAATGTTCTAGGCTGCAATGTCACACATCCGGTATGAATGTATTCGATCAGCTGGCGAAACACATCAGGTTCAAATTCCTCGATGATCACCGTATGATGCTGATTCGGCTATGATTCATCAAATAAAATTTCATATTTATAACAATGAAAACATCGTATCACGAATTTGAGAATTGAAAATTCATGCTAAGCGATTATCTCTGTGTACATAGTGATGGATATACTTTCAACCTGAAGATTAAACAATTCGATGATTAAATTTTTTTTTTTGTAAGACAAATTCTTAAATAATTCTAAAAAACCATCTCGTCAATGATTTCTTAATAATCAGATCGTCCATCACTATTCGCTTAAGCATCGATGAAGAATTGAAAAATCGAAATATTGAAATCGCAAAAATTTCATATAGGTGCACACTCTTTATAGGCGAACTACTGTGCTTTTATAGTTTCATGACTGCACGACGAATTGTGAGATGCAGAATCAAATCGTGCCCTCCTCTATTAAAGAGGATTATGATTGCGATCGTGCGTGTCTACAGCTATTGCAAATTTGCCTGTATATACTATACTATAGTATATAAGAAAGATACGATCTTTGAAACCGTGTAGTCACTTCAAGACTTGCATGCCGACTGAAAGAGATAGACTGGAATCACAAATGCTTCATCGATATATATATAGATTCAATTGTGTTGGATGCATTGTAATTTCTAAATAATTAATCGTACACGAGGATACTAGATTGATAAATATAATTTGATTGTTATCAATTTGTTTTAATATTGCAATATTTTGTATACTTAAACAATTTAGAATATTATATTTATTTAAAAAAAATAATAGGATTGAAAATTTCGAAGTAATATTTTATCTCAAATAATTTTGATTCAATTTCATAATTTGAGAGAAATTTTTAATTATCTTTGAAGAATCTAAACATAACCGTTGATTATTAATATAAAAATATCAGTTGAGGTTTATTTATTAAAGTTATGAGCAATTGCTACACGAAGCTTGTTAGACGAAGCAAGATATAGTTAGAGTGAGATAGCTATATTTTTAGTTTCAAGCTACGCCACGGCATGGCGCTCCGTGTCATTCTATCTTCATCTCGCTTCATCTAATGCAAACTTCAATAGATATCTATACTAGTATAGTTACTTATAGTTTAATAAATAAGCCAAATTTTTGATTAGAAACTTTTGTACTTGTTTTGATCCTTAGAATTCAAATATTCCATGAATATATTAATAATATAATTCTTTAAAATTATAAATAATCCTTTCTTAAAGTTTTTTTTAAAAGAGTTAATCTGGTATCCAAAGATAATAAATCCATAGTCTATCTCTTTAAATACAGTAAAATATAATTTCTATATTTTTTAATAAATAATATAGCATTAATATTGTGATAATTTGAAACCTAAGTCATATAAATATTATTATAACAATTTTAAATGTACATAAATATTAATTAAATTCTAAATAATTTTTTTGAAATAATCATATCGATTTTGTTAACTTCACAACTAATTACATTGATTTCACAATATCAATGCGTAAATATTCCATGCAATCGATACTCCAGGATAACTCCTTCGTCGCGAGATCTCGCTCTAAAAATTCTACTATAAACCATACATCGAGAAATAGTGAAAAAAAAAATAGACCAATCCATCTGACCAATTCTTTAAATTATTTAGGATCGTCGTTATCCAGGATCCTTCTCCTTATTTTTATTAGAGATCATGAAAGAAAGAGAACTGAGAAAGAAAGAGAGAGTAGTTTGGCGAGCATTAGAGTGAAAGAGAAAGGCCGAGGAAAGAAATCGACAAGTAAAAAAAGAAAAAAAAAAAAGGAGGATGCAAAATCGTATAGAGAAGTGGCGATAAAATAATACCTCTTGTATGGGAGCCAACTGCTGCGCGAACCCTGACCGCTACACGGCACACAACAAACGCACACTTACTATTTCTATCATTTTAACGACTGTATTTGAACACGGTATGTATAAATATTTTTCAAGTTGTCAATATTTTTGTGAGATGCATAAATTTATATGCAGAATATCCTATAAATAATTTTAGTATCCAAAAAATTGCAATTTCAAAATTATTTAATCGCACGCAATTATTTCAATGCGTGCGATTTACTTATATTTCGATATTAAACTAGTAATGGTTAAAATTATACAGGTATCTCTATTTACTTGTATAATTGCATTGAATAATGGAGAATAATAGAGAATATTAATGAAAGAAGATATTAATACATGACGATATTACATTATAATAAAAGAAACTTAATTACGTAGAAATTTATTACCAAGAAATAAAATTGCGTGTTCAACAAAATGAAATTTTCAATAATATCTCGTTTCATATCTACGTTTTTTCCATTATTCAATATAATGGACATAAATAATAACATAATATAACAGAATATAAGTAGTAATTATATATAGTAGTCATTTTGTTAAGGATATAGTTAAATATAGATGTAACTAAAATATTTAAAATCAATTTTCTTGAAAATATAGTGTCGCGTTAAAAAATTATATTCCATTTTTTTCACATGTCAATGTCAATATTTTAACTATAAAGCATATTAAATATAAAACACTTTCTATAATATAACCAATATCAATAGAAGAATTCATAAATCCAATGTTTTTCACTTTTAAAATATAAATTTTCAAGAATCAAAGTTTATCAATCAAATATTTAATTTTCAACATGACAAGATATGGATACTCGTAGGTGTATTCCACTCCACGTGTAATATTTCAAAGTTCACTGCCCACACTGTTGTCTGCTCGATTCGAATTTCAATTTGATTTGACATTTCTGCCTTCGAATAGCCAACATCGATACTGTTTATTAAAGAATAGCAAAAGTACAAATAAAGTGATGTTTCCGCAATGATTGCGATTACCTGTTGCGCTGCATTCTGTAGATTCAACAACGGTTCCGAGCTTCTCTTTAGAAACAGGCGGATTTTATTCTCTTTCGGTGCCGGTTCTTTTTTACGCTGTGGACTTGGCGCCTGGTAAAACATTTTCTGAAAAACTCTGGAAAAAAAAACGAAGAATTTGCGTGAATTTCGTCATTGAATTTAAAGATTTGTAGAATTTTTAGAGATTAAAGAATTTTCCTTGAAATCGTTGAAAATCTTAGAGTTTTTAAAATTCTTAAAATTTTTGAAGAATCGTAGACATGTCAAAGATTTTTAAAATTTTTACAAATTTTAGAATTCTCTCTTAACTTTGAGAATTTTCAAATTTGACTATTGAATGAATAAATGGAATAAATTATTATTATTTGAAATAATACACGATACGAACCTACTTCTGGCCGCTAAAACAGCCTTCACAGCGCAAATAGGTTCTTTGGTATCACCGACGAGGAAGGTCACGTCGCATAGTTCCGGCATACTTGCCAGAAACTTCATATCCTCGGCCAAGCCGGCCTTATTCTCGAAAATCGAATAATCCGACTCGTCGGCCACCTCTGACCCTGAAGCCTCCGGCATCGAGCTCGTATTTTCCTGGAAAAAATTTCATGTAGTACGAATCCAATTCGAAAATCATTATTTCGATTCAATTTTCCTCTTAAAATTTATTTGTCAGAAAAAGGAAAACAACTATAGAAAGGAAAAAGAAGTTCAAAGAAGAGATAGAAAAAATAAATTTTTGGAACGCATTATTTGATTTTTTGAGATGTCTATAAAATGATAATATTCTATATTATGTCTATATTGTCTATATATTATGTCTATAAAATGATAATATTCTATAAAATGACATTTTATAAAATATATTTTATAAAATAAAATATCTTAGAACGATATAATTTAGATTTATAGGGTGTATTAAAATTTATTTAAACTCAGAAAAATAGATGAGTTTTAAATGTTAGGTAGGATATATTTGGAAGGCTGCCTGAAAGTTTGAAGCATATTTTAAACTTTGAAGTCGATAAACAAGGCTTTATCCAACGCTTGATAGACTTTAGTTCCGTGTACCTTGCATTTATTATATTTCATTATATTTTATTATTTATAACACCTTTTATTTTTTTATTTTTTTGATTAAAATATTATAAGTAAAATCTAAAATTAAAGAATTATTTTCAAATGTTACTCGATTAATATCTTATCGCATATTAAAAACGATAATTAACCATACAATTAATAATTGAATGCTTTCTAATTAGAAATTTTGCAGAAATTATTCACTGAAATTTAATTCACTGAAATTTCGTTGAATTCTCATTTAATGCTCTAAAAAATTCCAACCATTTATGCCATTTATTTCAATATTAGTAAAATTTACATATACATATGAACGAATATTATGTGCAAATAATTAGATCAAATATCTTTCATATTAATCGATTTTTATCATTCTCATTAAACATTATCCAAAATTTATTTCATTTTTGAATGAAAGATTATTACTAATTTTATTATTGCAATTTCTGGAAAATTTTATTTAATAATTATTACTTTCCTAACAATATTTTACCTTCTCGAATCTTCAAAAAAGAAAATAAATTTCTCTCCAAAGAAAAAAAAAAGTTTAAAAAAAAAGAGAAGAATTTATAATTGACACAACAAGCATATGAATTCGTAATTCTTTCTCTTATTTATAAATAAACAATAAATCTAAAATATAATAACTTTTTTTTATCGACGACTCCTCCAAGAAATACGCAGATACGAGGAGTCGTTAAAGCTAAGGTTAATCGACGAATTCTCGCATGAATGGGTTCAAATGCAAACCGATACAGCGTTAAGTTGCCGAAGAAAAAGGCGACGAACACGCTTTAACGGACGAAATCCACTTTCGCTTATCCGATAGGCAAATCTGCAAATCCGTCGATAAATCACCCCCTGACGAAAGACTTAACTACCCTTCCGTGTAACGAGACCTGTTATCTACGATGTAGTTAACCTACTTGCATCAACAGACCCGTTTAATCCACGTCCCACGCCGTCGATATTATACTTTCGTCCGACCTTTAACCAATGAAAATTATTTACGCGATGTAGATATTCAGACACGCGAAATTTAATTGACATCTTGATAGATGGGGACGTGGACGAAGATTTTTAAGAAAAATAATTCTTTATTTCTGATTTTTAAATTAATATTGAGAAAGAGAGTTTAGATTCGACGAATGTAATTGAAATATTCATAGGGATGATTTTTAGAAATTAAATATAACGACTGACTAAAAATAATGGAAAGACAAATATGGATATTGTGAAATAAGAATTCAAAAGCTTACTAAATTAATAAGAAAAATACGTAAATAAAAGTTCTATTATTACTTAATATAATTTCTCACTCATTGCAAATCTCAAGCATTTTCAAGCATCATCATAAATGTAAATCATCACAAATCTTCTTACACACGATTTAAAAACGACACAGGACAAATACAATTTTCCCTTTTTCCTAGTCCCGGAAAATCATGAAAATGTCACGAGAAAAGGAAAATCGGATTTTCCCTTCCACTATCTCCGATCAAGGATATCCAACAGAACAAAATATCCACCAATACAAAGGAAAAATCGAATTTTCCACGGAGCAAGAAACAGCCCCTGCCTTCATTAAAGGGCGCGTAAATTGCATCATCTCGGCCCAGCCAAACAACCAACCATCTCACCCCCGACCAGGAAACCGGTACCCCGCTCGGAGTCAGCTTTTAAATTACCTGTTGCTCGAATCCCGGAGCCCCCTCGCTCGCCGGCCCGCTTTTGCCTCGAAAAAACACTTTTACCTCACTTCCTCCTTTCTACGATCACGCATAATCCACCATACACGCTCGATTTTCAATCTTCCTTCTCTC